TATGTGGCAGAAGTTGTTTGGCCTATATCAATGAACTGTGGCATATCCCCATGTAATAAAACTAAAATTATTTCCACACATCTGTATATGTATAGCTGCATATGTAAGCATATATAAGCAATTGTAAAAATTATAAAGAAGATGCTTCAGGATATAGTTTTTCCCTTATCTTGCTCCTCTTTTATGTATATATATATTATTTATGTATAAATTTATATACAAATATATTTATATATTTGTATAATTTGGACAATGATATATATGTATTCTCAGATTGTTAGATATTCACTGAATCCAAATCTGTTTTGGTCCTCCAACTAGAATTTTGCTAAGTCACTTAACCATTTTCAGGTTTCTTTGTGAAATGGGGTTTGACTTAACTGATTTCCAAGTAGCTCCAGACTCTTAAAATCTCTATTCTGTGACTCAGAATTACTTACACTGTACCAATTTCCTTCCCTCAAAAGCAAGCGTATTTAAATTTAGGAAAGGCAATGTACCTTTAAAAGTATTTAATCAATGATAAACTCGCTCAGGAGAATTAAAAGAGCTATATAATTTGGATGTACACACACATATCAGCCTAACGTACAATTTAACTTAGATTGTGCATGTAAGTATCATGACTTCTGGAGCCTAGGGAAAAGAACAGATCGAGGCAGCCATTTGGACCACACGATCTAGAATTTTCCCTCTGCTTTAGTGCTTCACTGGACCAGCAAAGGTGATATCAAATCACAGAGAGGTTCACTTGCAGACTGGACATCAGATGATCTTGACATTCTGAGTAGGGCATGAGAGGATGCGTTAGCAGCAGGTGTAGTGCCTGAAAGAACACACCAAGCCGTAGCAATAGAGTCCAAGCTGTGGTCCTGAAGGGGAGATGGAGAGTGGAAGAGAGGCTAGAAAAATCCATGAGTGGCAGAGTATCACATACTCATTACAAAAATCTGGATGATAAATCTATTTTAACTTGAGCAAGCTCAAAATACTCTCTGATTCCTACTGGGGAAATTGTCACCAAAGTTATCAGTGTAAAAAAAACCATCAAGGGGGCTGGAGTGATAGTACAGCGGGTAGGGCATTTGCCTTGCACGTGGCTGACCCAGGTTCGATCCCTGGCATCCCATATGGTCCCCCAAGCACTGCCAGGAGTAATTCCTGAGTGTATGAGCCAGGAGTAACTCCTGAGCATTTCTGGGTGTGACCAAAAAAAAGCAAAAAAAAAAAAAACCATCAAGGGTCAACATGAGGCAGAAGAGGGCAGGACCACTTCTAAACCTCAGTCTCTAGCACCTTGTACCATGACGAGGGTATCCAGATTAGTAAATATTTGTTAAAGTAATAAAGTAGTTGGTGAGTCAGTTCAGAATAATTTTTAGACTTCAACTCTAGTATTTGTTATTAGTATAAATACATCTAAAACTATATTATATGTAACTATTAGAATACTATTCTTGGGCCTGAAGAGATTTCTCAGTGAGCAGTACCAGGATCTGCATTCAAACCTGGATTTGATCCCTTATAGTGCGTGGGCACTGAGTACTACTTGTTGTGACCTGGTGGTACTGAGAGAGCACGGACAGTTCTTTATCCTGAGACCCTCACATTCAACCCCCAGCACCGTTGGCTGTATGCCCTAAAGAGTCAAAAGAGCAGAATCAATGTCAATAAAATAGTTTTCATTGGCTGGCTTTTGAACACTTGTTTGGATGAAAGGTTATCAGAATTGAACTTTCATAAAATTTGGATTTACTAAAAGTTGTTGTCATCTTAGAATCAATTTGTAGATGGAAAGAATTTATCTTTTAATTACATTGTTGTAATTGTATAATTATTAGTTGAAAGATTTGTCCACTCATCTTTGTAATTCTTGCTGCTCTCCCTTGTATGCCTAGCTGGTAGTTTCTGCTTCCCACCCTGATTTTCTTGACTTGTCTTTGATGTAACCAAAACTAATGTTTCTGGGCCAGAGAAATAGCACATCAGGCAGGGCACTTGCCTTGCATGTATCTGGCCCAGGTTCCATCCCGAGCACTCCATATGGTCCCCTCAGCCCTGCCAGAAGTCATCCCTGAGTGCAGATCCAGAAATAACCCTGAGCATTGCTGAGTGTGGCTTCTGCCCAATCCCTTTCCACCCACCCCCTCCAAACAAACAAAAAGAAAGGTAATATTTCTGAAAAAGAAGTAAATATGGTTAGGACAGGCTCGCTGTGGCTACAGATACAAGCAAAGCAAATGTAATTCTTCAGAATGGAATAATGTTCTACCAACAGAAAATGGGATTGATTCTAGAGAATCAGGCTCGTTAGTACATGGATATGGATTAACTGGAGATTTTTTATTTGACCTGAATAAAAATATATATGTATGTATATACATATTTTTATGTGAGAAGCCTTAAAATACTATGTATAATTTTCTCTCCCAACTTCTTTATAGATAAAGATTGATAAATTATTTTTTGGTTATGTAATGATGGATAGAAAATAGATGAGGTTAGATAGATGTATGCCTAAAATTTAAACAAAAATATAATTGAAGCACCACTCTTAATCATATTTATAATACTATTGTAGATTTTACTGTGATTGTAAAGGAGAAATATAGGGTAGTATATTCTCTATGATTTCTAATGTCAGTTTTTTTTCCATTTTGAGTTGGAATAACCAACTCCTGGTTATATAGCTAACAACAAAAACCGTAACAGTTAGAGTCTAACGTGTTGTTGACTATCACTGATGCTTTTTTCACTTTATTATATTCTCCACCTTAAAAGTTGAGGCGAAGAAAAAAATGTTTACGTTTTGAAGTGAAAAGCAAAATATGAACCTTAAATTACATTAGTTATGCAACCAAAAAAGGCTTGAAATTTTTAATGAATAATTGCAGAATAGAAGCTTACATCTCTACCTTTCTCAGATCTGATTTGAGGTTGATTTCAGTGGTTCTAACTTTCAGGAAAAGAAATCCAATAAATAAATACCAATAAATATGAATCAGCATTAGGGCAATTATTTTGGTTAATGTTGATTGACAGTTTTAAAGAGATACCATTTGATCAAGGCCTGTAAAATTCATGCTTCGAAGTTGACATCTTCGACTGAAAGAATGAGCATGGATTCAGTCTTCTAATGAAAAGGGCAAATCAAAACCCCAATAGAAAATAACCATCACTCTTTTGTTCAGAAGGAAAATTAAAAGATACGCAAAGAGTAGAATGCAAAACGCTTCCCGGAACTGGGTGGACCATTGTCTGGCCACATGAGAACAGGCTTCAGTTACAGCAAAAGACTGGAGTGGCATGATGTATTGTTAGAGGTGTGAATAGAGCTCACTCTTCCTCCAGGGACTTCACGAAGTTGAAACTAGAGCCAGTGGGAGGGCTCTCAAGGAGGCGGGCACGTGGGAGAATGGGAAGGGCTGCTTTGAGAGATAATCAGGGTCTTAGGACACTTGGGTTCTCACATGGAGGCTAAACAACCTCCATTCAGAATGCTCTGGAAAGAGTCTCAGACACACAGGTGGCAGACAGCACTGGACTCCTCAGATGTCTTTGCTACAAAATTCATTTATACTTCTCAAGGCTCACGAGTCTTTAAATTCTTTGCTGTTCCATCTCTGCTTAGAATGTGAACAATTAGCATGATTTATATGGTCCTCCCCGGAATTATTTTCTTCTGCATTGCGTTGGAGTCTATAAAGGTGATGCTTTATTCCGGGCTGCCTTTTGCGAGCACGGGTTTCTTCTGGTCCTGTGAACCATATTGTTGTCAGCTCAGCTTCTGATTTCTCCATTCTTTAGAAATAACTTAGGTTTGGTAGCAAAAGGAGTGAACAGCCCGCTTTGTAGGTTTACATTTCGGATTAGAAAAATATAAGGTTTTGATTCCTAAGCACTATCGAGTCATGTATAAATATTTTTTGTGTTAAATGCTATTGTCCTGCGTAAATCTTTACCTAACAATAGGCTAAGGAAAAACTACTTGGGAGTGAAAATTCCACTGTATAACTCCAGCAACTCTTGGTCTGCAAATGCTTAATGGTTCTGCTGTAAAGTCAGCAATGTTTGTCTCAGTGCCCCAAGTTCAACATCTCAGGACCCCAGAGGAGGCAAGAGTAGTTAATAAAATGCTCAGCAGTATTTTTTTCGGACCAAGTCATCATGCTGTCCTCTATCATTTTATTCTTGGAAGCATAAAGACTGTTTACAATATGGTGTCTTTCTAGGATCAGAGTAGTGAAAAAAAAATGGAAAAATGTCCAAACATCTTTGCATGGCAATGATGGCATTACTGGTGTGTTTAATAAAACCTTTATTGGTACATTTTCCGGTGTGGTGGCATTGGCAGAAACAGTCCCCCTTTGGATTTGGAACTCAGCAGCTGATGAAATACAGTAAACATTAATTTGGGATGGGCTGCCAGTTTCAGAAAGCCAGGTGACATTTTATTATATTTGTACCGAGCAGGGGCTACGTCCCATACTGCTGAAGCTTCCGCTGTCAGAGGCTTAGCTGGCATTATGGAAAAAAAAAAATGGCAGGCCTGAGAATCTTATCCCCTGAAATGAAAGTCGAATGCCAAATTGAAATTCCTGTAGGATTTCCGATAGCAATGGGGGAATTGAGAAGCCCACAATTAAGCATATGGGCATTAAGATAATTGTCAGATCTGTTGGCGGACATGATAGAAGACAGATGGGTACGAATCAGTGCGCTCCACCGCAGCACCCTGGGAGACAATTTGACGTTTTACCTGCCTGAGCTACTCTGCCATATTTGTCACTGAATGTACAGCGGCATCGTACTGTGCGTTAAGTGTTTTTTGCAGGGCACTATATAGGTGCATAGGCGGTCCTCCAGCGCCCTCTAGTGAGATGCGTTTGGGAGTCTTGCTTTTTCCCAGGCCGGCCTGCCTTCATCAGGTCCCCAGAAACAAACCAACGGGGCACACCCAGTCCCCACTAATCGTGATGCTTCCTCTCTCACCCTGACAGGTTGGAGCCCATCGTGAAGACGGCGTGGCTCTGAGAGGCAGCCATTCGCTTGTGCCAAACCAGGTTCCAGTTCCGCAGCTTCCCGTGCAGTCTGCCACTTCCCCCGATTTGAACCCACCCCAGGACCCCTATCGAGGTAGGTCTGCCCTGAGAAAGAGCATCTCTGACCGTAACTGGTAGTTAAACCCAGTGTTCATCCCCAGCCTCAATAGTCCCTATCCCTCAGGGAGCCCTGAAAGAGAGCCAAGATCAAATTTGGTACCAAATTGGTAAGTTAAATGGGCAACTATTTGGCACCTAGCCCACTAATTGCGGTTTTTTTTTTTTTTTTCAGTAACTGTTTTCCTCAAACATCCTCTGAAAATCCTGGTACTATTTCAACAGGGAATGAGACAACAGACTGATGAGAGGAAATTTTATTTTAGCTATTTCCACATTTTACTCATTCAGGTCCCCTAATATGGTTAGTTGTAGCCTGAAAATGATATTTCCAAATGAATAGGAAGGAAATTGGTTTTGTTGGTTAAGACTGAAGGAAATGTAGGTGCATTTGCAAATAGAACTGGGGGGGGGGGCCTGTTGCTCATTCTGAGTCAACTGGGCCCATGATGATCACCTACTAGCACCAACTCACAACCCCCAGAAGTTAAATCGCAGGGCAAGACTTCGGTCCTGTGCTCCCCGTGTGACTTGATGGCCAAGTGACCCATGGACACTTCAGTTAACTGGTGCTCCTCCCCTCCCGACACTCACATTTAAAACTAAAATGATTGCACTACCACAGGAATAAATCTAAACACTGTTTCACCTGTTTAACATCGTGCAAATATGAGTGCCAACTAAATACATGGATGGGCCCAGGCATTTCTACCAAATTACAATAATTTAGCAGACCTTTTCTTAAATGAGACCATGGTTTTTCTCTCTTTGTCCTGGTCGACACTGCTTAAATGTTAAATCATGCCTGGGCGTGGCCTGAGGATCTTGCTAAAATGCAGACACTGGTCCAGTAAGATGGAGTTCTGTATTTTTAAGTGGTTTCCAGGTGATAGGATGTTCTGGCCAATAGACCCCAAATTTTCAATGTAGAGGTGCTAAACTACACCAGTTACAAATAGGAGGTACTTCCACAAGTGTGCTTACTCTACCTTAGGATAGATAATTACATTATGGCTAAATTTCAGGCCATATTGTGATTTTGAAAGTTGAGCACGAATGTAGCTGGAGATGTCTTCAGTGAGCAGCTAACTGCTTTCCATATATACCATTTTTAAATTCTGATTACTGCGTGAGGAAAAGAGAAGCCTAATTTCAGAATATCATTAAAGGTATCTATTGAAGTCTTGACTGCACATATTTAGCGTACTCCCTGGGAATTATATTTTAAGGACATTTTTCTATTAAATCGTTGCATATGGAAGAAACTCAATATAATAGCTGATATTTACTTGGGTTCTTAATCAGAACATTGAGGTGTGTGAATTTCATGATTATGATTTTCATTGCAATTAAGTTGATGTTTTGTAGACAGTGAAATTACCATCTACTCCAAAAGATTGCAAAATAGAATTTAACCTCAGAGCCAATGCAGGGAGAACTTGTTTCCGCAGGTGCATTTTTGAAACTTCACCAGATAGCACACACACACACACACACACAAAAAGTGTCAGAAGGATCACAGTTCAGCAGTATGAGCTGTATAGCAGCACCTCGACAGTCTGGGATATGCATGTTTGTGCATCAAGCCTTCAGTAGATGGTGGAAGTGTCTGTCACCTGGTTCCTTTTTTTTTCTAGGCATGCCACCAGGATTACAGGGCCAGAGTGTCTCCTCCGGCAGCTCTGAGATCAAATCCGATGACGAGGGCGATGAGAACCTCCAAGACACGAAGTCTTCCGAGGACAAGAAATTAGATGACGACAAGAAGGATATCAAATCAATTACTAGGTCAAGATCTAGGTAACAGTATATAATACTGTCGCTTCATTTAATTCCTTTATTGGACTTTGATGAAGTGCACAGAACAGGAAGAAACTATTCAGTTTTTTCCTGGCAGGTAAATCCATCGTTGAAAAGAAAAATTAAAGGCCTACTCTAGAGGTACTAAAAGTATCGTTTAAGATACCTGTACTCTAGTGAAGCCTAAACGGTCTTTGCATCTATGAATTTGGACTCGAGGCTAATTATTGATGATCAAAACAATTTGTAATTGATTCAAGTGCAAACAGTTGGTTTTTGAAACTGTATTCAAATTTGATCCAAAAACGTTCTAAAATATTTCTTTAAAAAATCTTAACCATGTTGAAAACTTATTGATTTCATGCAACTGTATTGTTTTCATACCTCAAAAGTGAGAAAATGCCTATTTCCCAGCTTTATCCTAAACTTATCAATACATAAATATAAGAATGAAACTTAAATTGCTATTTCCTTAACCCTTTGGAAAACTCACTTCTTCAGAGAATACAACTATAGGAAAATAAATTCTGACTGGTTTTCTCAAATATCCGGTATCTCTATATTAGAATCCCTTTCCTTGAAGCTTTCATTTGGCTTCAATTTTGTTTGAGGTCACACCCACCCAACTGCGCCCAGGGCTTACTCCTGGCTCTGTGCTTAGGGATCATCCCTTGACAGGCGAACAACCTGCCTGTAGTACTATCACTGCAGCCCATCTCTCCTTAAATTTTAATTCTTACTTGATAATGAGTTGCTTTTTGAATATCGTGGAACTTCATGTTCTTTGCTGCAGTTCCCTTGGGTTTTTATTTCCCGATTAAGTTAAAAGTATTAAGTCTACATGTCCCGTCTTAAAGACTGTTGTTCGCGAGGAGAGCTCTAGTGTCCTTTCTGAATTAAGAACGTGATTCCCTTTCCCATTACTTCTGTGACTTGTGAGCTCAGTTGTATTGCATGTCCTTTCATGAGTTTCAGAGAAGCCAAAGCTTCTCACTCTCACCTTTCCATTTTCACTGCAGTTTCCTGACTGTTGGCCACAGTGGTAAGAAATTCCAAGGAGGGGCTTTCGGTTCTTGGTTATTTAACTCCTGACTGTAACCTAGGCATATTAATAGATGCTTTATAGTTTCAGTACAACATTTTAACTTGCTCTTAAGAGCATTTTTTATTTCAAAAGGCTACTTTCATGACATTTCCTTACACCTACAGAACTGTGTTATGAGACAATGTTTTTCAATTTTAGGCTGTTTTATTTGCTTAACAAAATTATTTACAAGTGAATAGCCAATTCTGATTAGTTACTAGCCTGAATAACTTTGAGAAGCAATTTTACACTTTCAGGTCCGCTTTGTGAAAGGTATGGCACATGTTTGGTGTATTAAAATATTACCCAGATGTTTAATTTCAGGATGACTTGAGGCTGGACTCAGTTCTCTTTTCTCCTTATACCCTCCTATTTGTGTCAGAAAACGTGCTAGGAAATATTAGTAATCTTGATATTCGTGGCATCTGCAGAGGTCACAGCCAATGGTGGGGAGAGGGATTAGCAGAGAAAGTGCAGGAGGATCAGGTGGGAAAGGAGGAAAATATTTCCCCATCAGTTGAATTCAGTTACCTATTCCCAGCACACAGGGAGTCCCATCCAGAACGGATGAGAGCAGCCAAATCTTCCAGCCTCTTTCTTTGGTGTCTTCCTTCTCCCTCCCTTAAAAGTTTTTCTTGGCTTACATATGTCATCTTTCTGTGCAACAGGCATTAGCAACCCAAGGATATTGGGTGATGGGGGCTTCTCAGCAGTACTTGGTCCTTACTGAAATTTGGAAGCCACCCCGAGATTTTTTCCAAATGGAAGGTTCAAAACCAGAATCTGCTGCCATTGCGAATGATGGTTAAAAGCCATTTTAAAGCAGCTTTCACATAGGGCGCTGTGGATTGACTCGCTAACTTCCCACGTGTCGGGAAATGGGAATTGGTATCGTCAGCTCTGGAATGTGATGGACAGCTTTATTCCATGTTAGCCGCTAACTTCTTTGACCCTCTTCATCAGTTCTTGCATCTCCAGCTTACGACCCTTACAGATAGTCATCTCCATGTAGTAGCTTACAATGGAGAGGAACTGCCAGGTGTCATCCGCCTGAAAGTTCTCACAAACACAGCTGTTGCGGTGCTGTGTGAGCCTCACGCATCGCGTGTGGCCTTGTCTACCCATTGTCCAGAGAAGCTTTGCTTCCCCTAGCCCCCTTCCTGCAGTGCAGGCACCTGTGACCTCCACCCCCCACCCCGAGCTTAGACGTCTTCTGTGTGTTTTGGGGCAGGAGAGGGGGAACGTCTTAGGTGACACCGACCGCCTCCAGGTGGATGGTCCCGGCCAGGTAAAGCCACACTCGCCGCAACCCGTAGAAATGACGTAGCTGCCCTCTTGTCCCGGCACCATCCGAAAACGCTGCCTCCCCCTTTGTCGTGCAGCAATAATGACGATGAGGACCTGACCCCGGAGCAGAAGGCCGAGCGGGAAAAGGAGCGGAGGATGGCCAACAATGCCCGCGAGCGCCTGCGCGTGCGTGACATCAACGAGGCATTCAAGGAGCTCGGCCGCATGGTGCAGCTCCACCTCAAGAGCGACAAGCCCCAGACCAAGCTGCTCATCCTCCACCAGGCCGTGGCCGTCATCCTCAGCCTGGAGCAGCAAGTCCGAGGTGAGCCCCGGCCCTCCGCGCCAGTGCCCCAAGCAGTCGCAGAGAGCCATCTGGGGTCAGCTGCTGAAGCCGGGACCCCCTTGCAGGCCAGGCAGTCCCGGGGTACCTGTCACCACGGCCTGGACCCCCTTGGAGACTGGGCATCCTCCGGGTACTGGTCACCACTGGACCCCCTTGGAAGCCGGGCAGCTCCGGGGTACCGGTCACCATGGCATGGACCACCCTGGAGGCCAGGAAGCTCCTGGGTACCTGTCACCACGGCATGGACCCCCCTGGAGGCCAGGCAGCTCCCGGGTACCAGTCACCATGGCCTGGACCCCCTTAAAGACTGGGCATTCTTCGGGTACTGGTCACCATGACCTGGACCCCTTTGGAAGCCGGGCAGCCCCCAAGTACCGGTCACCACGGCCTAGATCCCCTTGGAGGTGGGCAGCCCCTGGGTACCAGTCACCACAGCCTGGACCCTCCTGGAGGCCAGGCAGCCTCCGGTTACCGGTCACCATGGCCTGGACCCTCCTGGAGGCCAGGCAGCTCCCAGGTTCCAGTCACCATGGCCTGGGACCCTTCCACTGAAGACTGGCTGCCCTGGGGTCCCAGGGGTGGGCAGTACCTGGGGCTTGTCATGGTCCAGGGGACCTGCAGCCGTCCTTCTGGCTGGAGTATGGCCAGACCCCGCCCGGGAGCGGGCACCTTGATGCCCCTGCTCAGTGAGGACAGGAAGAGAGTCAGTGGTCACCCACAGAGCATGACCCCCGCTGCCCAGACCATCCCCGGTAACACTGATCTGTGCCCTGCTCTCCACAGAAAGGAACCTGAACCCGAAAGCAGCGTGTCTGAAAAGGAGGGAGGAAGAAAAGGTGTCCTCGGAGCCCCCGCCGCTGTCCTTGGCCGGCCCGCACCCCGGGATGGGAGACGCCTCGAATCACATGGGACAGATGTAAAAGGGCAAGTGTGGGCCCACCGCGTGCAAACCGCCCCGCTCTCCTGCCTGGGAGGCCGCAGCCAGGGCGTGCCCCGTGTGGGGACCCCCATCCCCCACCCCACACATCCTCCCCATTCATAGATATTTTCCCTTGAGGAAAAGATTTTACAAATAAAGCCTTGACTTCTTGTGTTATAAATGTATTAATTTTCCTTTCTTTTTTTCCTTCTCAGGTCCAAGTTGCCACATTGCTTCATTAATACAAGAGACCACTTCCTTAACAGCTGTATTATCTTAAACCCACATAAACACTTCTCCTTAACCCCTTTTTTTGTAATATAAGACAAGTCTGAGTAGTTATGAATCGCAGACGCAAGAGGTTTCAGCATTCCCAATTATCAAAAAAAAAAAAAACAGAAAAACAAACAAAAAAAAGAAAGAATAAAAGTGCAACTTGCGGGCGACTCTCTCTAACATATCATTCAGAACGTGCAGAGCGGGGTGTGCGGGCTGAGACGCAGCCCAGAGACTGAATGGCAATCTTTCCACACTGTGGAACAATGCATTTGTGCCTAAACTTCTTTTGGAAAAAAAAAATATAATTAATTTGTAAGTCTGAAAAAAAAATATTTAATTTAAAAAAATTGTAAACTTGCAATAATGAAAAAGTGTACTTCTGAAGAAAACTACATGAACGTTTTTGTTGGTATTCAAGTCAGCTAGTGTTTATAATTACTGGATATTGAATAAGGGAAGCGAGGCTGCCCTAGTAACAAAACCAGCAAACGTCCTGATGACAACAAAGTGATGACATTAGCCATTCCTTAGGGTAGGAGGAACAGATGGATCTTATAGACCTATGACAAATATATATATAAATATATATATAAATATATATTAAAAATTTAGTGACTATGGTAAGCTTTTGTTCATTTGTTTCAGACTTTTTTCTCCTGTAAAAAAATAGTACTGATTAACTTTTTTAAAAGAAATATTTTACTGTAAATACGGATTTTTTTTTTTTGGTCTTATTTCTCTGTCCCTTTCCCCGGTTTGTTATTGTAACCTGTAGTGCCAACTCTGCTTCCGGAGGGTAATGCAGGATGAAATGCTGACCCTGATGTTGCTTTTCATTCATAAATAAGTAGAAAGTTGTTTCTCCAGTCTTTTGGGAACACAGGACTTAAAAGTCACATCATGTGTAGATATTACAAGCAGCATTACCAAGATATGGCAAAATGAATTTGTCTGAATTGTAATGTTGCGGTTTGTGACCCTATTCTGGGATTTTCAGAGGTACAAGGTTAGAATGCTACAATGTTACCACTGTGCCTTCCAATGTTTATATCATCGGAAACATAACATAATCAAAGTGGCTGTGATTTAACAAAATGATTCAAGTGTTACCTACATGTGTAGCCGAAGTAGTGTGCAGTGAGGCGTTTCTGAATACATGGTCAGATTTTTGGAAAAAAACAAAAACAAAAAAAAAAAGTCAAGTTCAAAAACCATCAAATGAGAAAATTGCAAGTAGTGTGACAGAGCTGATTGATTTTGTTGCTTTCTTGGTTTTTTTTTTTTTCAAAATGGGTTTACTAAAACGTAGATGACTTAACTGCCTCCTCCTTCGTCAGAAAAAAAAAAATGCCAATATTCAATCATCATGCAGCATTATAACAAGCCTTATAAGTCCTAAAGCATTAAGTTGCACTTTCTTGAGGAGGGGTAGTGCAGTATTTCTCTGGCCAGTATGAATGAAGTTTATACTTAACATATTTGATAGAAACATAGATCAAGCTATGGCACAGCAACTCATCAGATAGCTAGCTTTGACGTCTGGGCACAATTGAACCAACTTCCATCGTGAATCTTTATAATGATTGACTTTGGTGTATAGTGCAGTAAACAAATAGTGCTCCTAGTTAAGTATTTGTCAGCATCCTTTTGTCTCTAACTCGTTTCTATTTTTACAGCCACACAATCTTGGCATGTATTAAGAAAAAAAAATCCCTGTTCAAGTAGTTTTTCCACCTATCAGCACTGAGTAAATGCCATAAATCCATCGAAATGGTCTAAATGTTCCATCTGTTCTCCTGTTTTGCCAGTTATATAGTAATGAAATACATTTGTAAATTTTATGCAACAAATGGCAAACGTATCATTATTTTGAAATTGTGTATGTAAAAGTTATATTTTTACATGTAGACTTGTTATTATGTGTTTTAATACATTGTATGGGTTTTTGTTTTGTTTTTTCTTTAACTGTGTGGTTTTTAAAAGTCTCATTTAAATGAAATAGTGAGCTACAAGAATCTGAATTTCTATGTTCATTTCTGAAAATTGTAAGAACAAATAAGATAGTTACCACGTGGTCATCTTTTACAAGCCCATAAACATTTTGATTAGCTGTGCGTGTGCGTGTGTGTGTTGAAAACTGTAAATATGTTCAGTAGCGATAAAAACTAAAATACTTTGATTTGTTGATAAGTTCCTAAAATGTGGAGGTGGATTAAAACCTTAGGAGAATAGCAGAAATCAGACTTCATGAAAAGTTATTTAGAGGCTTTCCTGTGAAATGTGTGAACAGAGGCCCAAGGAAGGGCTCGGAAGAGAATATTGTGTACGTCTCCCCTCCTCCTGAGTAACGGAAACCATATGGACTTGTTCCCTCAGTATGTTAAAGATTTCTTTTTAGTGGTACATTCTGCACTCACTTTGTATAGTCTACCAAGGCGGGTATCCCTAGGAACAATATTATATAGGAAGCAGATCTACTCTGGTCACATTCAGGAGAAGTGTACAGAAGAAACTACGGTGTTTACTCTTTAAAAGGGAACTGGAAACACTCCCTGCGTGGATGTACATTTTAAGAATGGCACTTTTGATACATGTTATCACAAAGGTGCTTCAGAGAGCTGATTTAAAAGTTTTTCAAAACTGTAAACAGCGGGAAAAAAAATTAAATGGTAGTTATCTGGTTATTTTTTTCAATTGGTGCTTTATATTTTGTTCTCACTCAGAGTAAAAGCTGCAATTTTATTGTTCACCAGCTTTGATGTATTCATTACTCAGTAATGCGATACCTCTATTGTGGAATTCCCTTTGGAGAAAAGAAAAGATTTAAAAAAAAAAAAAAAAGCAAAGACCTTTCTAGCGGCCACCAAAAGCTACTTGCTACTTTTCACTCGGTGTGGAAACGTGATCTGCACCTATCTATTAATTGGGTTGATTCGCCATTAAAAGAAATAAAAGAAGAAGAGGAGGAAAATGAAAGGAGATGTGGCCTTTTTTTAGTGTGTTTTCTCTTGTTGTTGTTTTGTAATTCTCAAACCCAGGTAAGATATTGGTATCCTGCGCTGGATTTTTGAATAAAATTTAGCAGAAGGCAGTTAGGATTAAAGTACTATACAAAAATCTCATAAGGGTCCATACTCTCCTGTATCTTGGTCTCCACTGATAGATACAGATACATGATGATACTTAAGCTGGGGGTCTGTTTAAGGAACTTGGACTTTAAAAACCACTTGGAACTGTTGATCCACCTCCACATTCAAGTAATTTATGAATATGCAGAATAGGGATCTGTTCATCTAGAAATTTTTACCATTTGTCTTCTGTGTAGCTGTGAGGAACACTAATGTTTATACAACTGTCAGTTCACCCAGTAACGCAACTGGTTCTGATTCAGTCTTCCGATTCCTTTTCTGTTTTCTGCTTTTTTTTTCCCTGTTTTTAGGTTGTTGTTGTTGTTTTTTTTTAAGTTGTTATCTTTGTTTTGGTGAGGGGGTGGGGGGTGGGGGGTGGTAGGGAGTTGAACCAAGACTCGGGGGTTAAGAGGATTTTCATCTTGGATTCAACATACAAAATCTGATCTGTGTCCAAAAGTGAACTTGAGTCAGGAATGAAACAATTTCAGCATAAACAAGCACAAAAATTTAGTCTGCTGGCTGACTGGAAACAAACAAACAAACAAACAAAAGTCAAGATGGAATATGATGAATTCCAACACAAATGGGGCACCCAGGCCTCTGGGCCTGTCTTTATTTTGCTTTGGTTTTGTTTGTTTTTCTTTCGAGACACGCTCTTTCTCATGGGACTTGAAGTGGACTCATTCTGTGCAGTGCTGGTTTTGCCATACTCATTTCAAGTATTATAGACATATGTAATGGTGAAAATATATGAACTGTGGCCTTTTTCATTCTTGTTACTTGTGATGCAATTAAGTGAAGATAAGAAAAAAAAAGCAGAGATTTACCATGTATCAGTGCCTGGCTTTTTGTTATAAAGCTTTGTTTGTCTAGTGCTCTTTTTGCTATAAAATAGACTGTAGTACACCCTAGTAGGAAAAAAAAAACTAAATTTAAAAATAAAAATATATTTGGCTTATTTTTCGCAGGAGCAATCCTTTTATACCATGAATATTACACACAAAAAATTGTCAGATTCTGAATATTTCTTCTTTGTAGATTTTTGGAATCATTATGAGTAAAAGTTTGTTACTTTATTTTACTATTTAAAAGATGTTATTTTACCATGTGTTACTGAGATGAAACTGTATGGTAGCTTTTTTGTTTGTTTTTTGTTTTATTTTGTTTTGTTTTTTTAGTTGTAGGTCGCAGTGGGAAATTTTTTGCGACTGTACACATAGTTGCAGCATTAAAAACTTAAAAAATTGTTAAAAAAAAGAAAAAAAGGGAAAACATTTAAAAAAAAAAAGATAAAACAGTTACACCTTGTTTTCAATGTGTGGCTGAGTGCCTCGATTTTTTCATGTTTTTGGTGTATTTCTGATTTGTAGAAGTGTCCAAACAGGTTGTATGCTGGAGTTCCTTCAAGATAAAAACAAACCCAGCTTGGTCGAGGCCATCACCTGTTTCCCATCTGTAGTTATTCGATGAAGTCATGTACATGACCGTTCTGTAGCAATAAATGTGCCATTTTTATAAACTGTTTCTGACACTTGTTTCATTTCATTTTGCATTGTCCATATAGCTCTGATTCTCTTCTGTAAGTAAAACCGCATCTATATTTCATTTTCCAAGTGTTGGAGGTATTGACAGCTTAACAAAACAAAACATAACAAAATAAATCACAAAAACAAATTGAAAAGCAAAGCACATGATTGACCAAGGAAGAGATGCCCTTAATGAAAATGGAACGGGATGCATGCAAAACACAAAGAAACTGTCTAGAGGATTAACTAATTGAAGGAATATAATTAATGTGTGTGTGACACTGAAGCTATGCATTTGAAGAGCTCTGAACTGCACCAATGTTTTCGGTTGTGCTGAAGCTTGCTAAGGCAAGTCAGCCTTAACCTTTTGGATCAGTTGGTCGACTGTTTGGCAGAACCTTCTCAGCTAGATCTTTTCAGTCAAAAATCTAAGATGACTTATTTTGTATCACGTTGTTAAGAGTTGAATATTGTTACCCCCAATTAATATTACACTGTATTTATACTTTCTCAGACTCTTCCCCATCCCCCCAGGTCTGGTTGGCTCTGTTGAATATGAATCCAGATGTAAACAACCAGATGGTTTTTTTTTTTCTAAACTTGTACAAACTAACGCGTGTCACCTATTATGGGAGGAAAAAAATGTACAGATTAAAATTATTCAGTGTTATGTACTGTAAGTTAATATTTTTGTAGAATGGACATCTATCTACTTTGCAAAACTTGGAGGCTGTTTCAACATTGCATTGTAGAAATGTAAAGTAATGTATGCAATGGAAAGGAACGCCCGTGGTAGATGAGCACTTCATCACAGAATGTTCTAATAGAGTATGTGGTATTTGGGGATGTCTCCATATTGCTCTTGTGTTCTTTCTAATGGGGTTTAGTGACTAGTTTGCCAGAAGGAAAATGTTATAATGCCATTTGGTTCACGTGTGAAGTGCCCTCCATAGCCAAATGTTGGATTTTTTTTTCTTTTCAGTTGGATTGTTTGCAGATATTTAAATTTTATGAAATTTCCAAAGATTTTGGTTGATAACCCCTAATTTTTCCTTCTAAATGATTTGAGATGTTCTTATGTTCTTACTGTGTGTTTTAAATATATATAAAAGAGCCACAAGCATTTAGTCTTTTAGTATTATATTTGATCCTATACCTACTTCTTAAAAGGGGGACAGTGTGCTTGGGCACCATTTCAGTGTCTCACATATAGTCTCTTATCTACTTTATTTGAAAGGACCACACAATATGCTTCAACTTTTGTTTATTTTTCAAAGGGAAGTTAAGTTGCCTTGTGAAACTGCCACATTATCTAGAGGTGAAAAAAGACCCCAGTAACAATAGCCCGATGATAGAAAACCTAAAGAAGTTCAAACAGGGACTCATTTTTAATCTTGTAATCAGATCCATCTATATATAGGACAACAAGGGAATTTTTAGTCCAGGCTTCCACTGTATACCCCTTTTCTCTAAACCCACAGCCTAAGACGTTTTGTTGGTAAGCCACTTTATGTGCATGAACACAGCAAAAGAACAAGTGTGCTGTGGTATTCAGGATCATACACTGAATATGCACCTGGGACCCTTAACACTGGCCTCCAAAGGCCTCCTGTTTAGTCTATCATTCTCCCACTTCAAACTAGTTCTCAGTTCAGATGCTAACTGCTCAGCACATGGGTTTTTTTGAAAAGCTGCTTAGCTCATTTTGAAAAACCTCGAATGTCAAGAAGAGCCAGTGTAACCTTGGTGTGTTACTGAGGAATCATTTAATTTGAGAAGGTTTGGTGAACAATGTTGAACTCAAGTTCAAACCCTCAAGTCTTCAGGAAAGAAACACACAATGCCAGAGCTGGTAGAATGCACCAGCTACCGGGCAACACAAGGTAGCGTAGTTCTACAGACCAAGCAAAGCGGTTGCAGAGGGATCAAATGAGTCACATCAGTCAGCCCCACGCTAGGTATTTGAATTGTCAGACATTAAGATTACTGGATGTAAATCTAAATATAGAAGCTCTCTTGTTTATCATTTTGCTATGAAAAGAGGCGCATGCCCAAAACTCTTAACATTTTTAAGCTTGTAGACAGTGAGATTATGTACATAGAAGCAAGTACATATCTATGAAATGTCGTATGTGCTAGGAGTTGGTAGATCTCTAGAATCTAGCCATGGACACTTATTCGTGGGTTCTAGATGAAGAAAGTTCTAGAGAAAGGCACTACAGCATCAATGCTTGAAAAATGGACATAGAAGCAAATCTACTTACCTTGATCTCTGAGCTTACTCAGAACTACACTGCTGTCTGGCTTTTCGGGGTGAAAGAAAGACACTTTGTATAACATGGAAAATAATATGGTCCTCACTCACATCTGCTCCACTATATTTAGAAGTCAAATAGCATTGGTGTTGGCATGAAAACTCTACTCAGAGGAAGCTGAGACTTGCCCAGCACAGAATGGGAATGTGCTTTACAGAGTCAGACTTGCTGGCTTCAAGGTTTTGATAGTAAGCAATCCCTGGGTGAGGAGCTTGGTTCTTCAGCAAAAAGGGGCAATGTTGTAAAGAAAGTAGGACGACGTGATTTTTGCAAGGGTTTCTTTCCCTTTGTACATCTTTATTTGGAGGTAGAGGAAGGCCACTCTCATGGTAGGAAACTATGCAGTAGTGGCTTGCCCAGGTCATGTGAGTTCTATCAAGAAGGCAGACCTTTCTAGGTCAGTTCTAACATCCCACACTCAAAACAGTGGCTGCCTGTCCCTATATGTAGTGTGGCTTCACAGTTTAGCATGGTCTTGCCCCCCCCCCCCCCCATTAACCCCTCTGCAGTGAGTCCATTGTGTGACTTTTATCTTGTTACCCTTTCAGTGATTTTTGTTTGTTTGTTTGTTTTATGGACTGGTTTCCAAACTTCCCTGCACTTCTCCTTTTTATCTTATTCTACAAATTGTTAGGCTGTAACTAGATGTGAGATAACTAGATGGAATGAGACTGTAAGGCAAACTAAAATTTATACTCTGGCCCACATTTTTTTAAATAAACTTTCTATTCTGGAAGAAATTTTGATGTACAGAGCAGTTGCAAAGATAGTACAGAGCATAGCTGTCTAGCCTGTGAACCAGTTTCCCTGGGGTAAATGTTGTGTAACTGGTACATTTGCCATCACTAAGAAACCAACAATGGTTCTATATCTGAATTTCAGCAGTTTTTCCATTAGTGTCCTTCCCTGTTTCAGAACCCAATCCAGGGCCTTACTTTGCCATTGATGAACCTACGCTGGAGTCTGAGTGATAGGAGAGGCTGTCTAATTGTAGTCTGCAGAGCTCCTGAGGCCTCAGATTCTTATGGAGTTGTATAACATGCACACCTATCCCACAGAACAATAGTGCAAAACCCACCCACCTTTTAGGATTTGTCCCATTCATTGCTCATCATCATCCTTCCTTCCTTGGCAATGGGTATTAAGCAGTAAGAAGATGGGGAATGGGGAGATACCTACAGCAAATGCAAATTGAATAGTTAAAACATTAGGCATGACTTTCTTGGTGTTGATTAGGTACAAAGCACCAAGGAATAAGAACGTAACAGTCCCTCCATAATGAAGAAGTCCAGTTGAAGGACAATGGCTGTATCCATATGACCAGCAGTCCTAGCCATTGGGCAGCATCAGACTAATTCAGTGGGAGAGTGAAGAGACCCTGGGGTGGGTCCAGGGCAGACAGGACACATGCCAAAGTGACCAGAGGGAAGAGGTCTGCAGTTAACGTAGAACAGATAATAGGTCTGAAACCCTGGCAAATCCTTTACTGTCACAACTTAGACCAGTTGGGATCGAATTTGGATAGCTTAAACTTGACAGTGCCTTTTCAAATTGTCACACTCTTCCCATCTCCCACACAACAATACCTGGAAACCCTTGGCTGACCTTTTTCCAGCTCCAGTTATCAGGAACTCACAGGTGCAGAGCAAGCCCTGGGGGTGAGCAGAAATGGAAGCAATAATTACTCTGGGATCTGAAGGATAAACAAAT